CGGGCAGAGGAGGCACGAGGGGCAGCAGAGGAAGGGGGCGGGCAGTGGAGGCATGGAGGGGCAGAGAAAGTACGGGAGAGCAGCGGAGGTAGGAGGGGGGGGGCAGCAGGGAATGCAGTCACAGCGGTCTCTCCTCCCCGCTGGTGTCTGTGTCCCCGCTGCCTCTGCTGATACAGGCAGGGAGAGCAGTGGGGATTGAAAGGTTGAAGGGGACAAAGACCGCTGCAGCCAGCACCAGTGGGGAGGATAATGGAGGAGCAGCTGCAACTAATCGAAAAGCAACTAATCGATGATGAGGATTGTTGCCTACAATTCTCATTATCGATTATAATCAATTTAATCGATTAGTTGTTGCAGCCCTAGTGAATAGTGTACTCTGTTCAGAGGCGACTAAACGCTGCTTCTGTACGCAACTGTATTCTGTGCTATGACTGTATACAAACTGGCCCTTTAGCTGCGACCAGTATGTGTGCAGCCGGAAACTCCGCAGTAACACCGTCCCTGGACTCAGCATGTCTGCATCTAGGATCGGTCAGAGGCTCTAATCCTGGCTGGGCAGTTAAATACAAACAGTGGTGGCATCGGCCATTTATTTGTACAGAGTACAAATCTGTCAGCTGCAGCAGCGGCTCACGGCTGTACACACACTTGGGGAAAATTATCAAAACTGGAGCAGTTGTCCTTAGCAACCAATCAGCTTCTCTCTTAATTTTGTTTGGTTAAGCTTTGATAATGAAAGATAGACGCTGATTGGTTCCCATGGACAACCGCTTTAAATTGTCTGCTCCAGCATTGATAAATTCCCCTCATTGTGTATGTGTAGTCTTTTGCTGTTTGCAGAAATTACTAGATAACTGCTGGTAGATGATCAGAGACTATGGGCATGCTATAAGTGTTGGCTAGAAACTATATGCATGCTACAAGAGGGGGTCAGAGAACATGGACTTGCTACAGGAGATGGTCACAGACTATTGGCATGCAACAAGGGATAGTCAGAGACTATTGGCGTGCTAGAAGAAATGGCTAGAGAGTATGGGCATGGTGCAAGAGATGGTCAGAGACAATAGGTATGCTACAAGAGATGGTGAGAGACAATGGGTATGCTACAAAAGATGGCTAGGGAGACTATGGGCATGTGACAATAGATGGTCAGAGACTATGGGCATACTACAAGAGATGGTCAGAGATGCATAGGCATGTTACAAGAAATGGTCAGAGACTATTGGCATGCTACAAGAGATGGTCAGAGACTATGGGCATGCCTCAAAAGATGGTCAGAGAATGGCTAAATGCTTCAGGAGACCTTCATAGTAGTTTGTTAGTCTCTGAGCATCAACTGCAGAATGTCTATATTCTCTGACCCCTTCTTGTAGCATGCCCATAGTTCTCCATGACTTCTTTCATATACAGGTTAGCTGTAAGGGAGGAAAATGGTGATGTCATTATATACCCATATGACTGTATGTAGAAGTTATCCTTGTACGTCAAATAGGAGGTGTTAAGATAAAGGCCCAACAAGAAACTACTGGGTCTAACTTGAGTTTTGTTTAGCAGTCAAGGGTCATATCCAGTTTTTACATGTTTCCTTAGGCCTTGTTCACACCAAATGCAGAGCAGATCGGCTCAGGTTTCTACACACGCAGTGCAGTGGGTTGTGCCACGTTTTTGCTGCGTTTTTAATGCGTTCCGGGCCGTTTTTTCTTTTTTTTTGGTTTAACATGGGCTTTCAGTGAGTTACAGGCATTTGCATGTGTTTTTGATGCGTTTGCATGCGTTCCAGAGCAGGTAAAATAGGGCTTTTTCACCTGCTCTGGAACTGCACGCTGCGATGTGAACTGGAGCAAAAAATACCATTGGAATACATTGGACGAAGTTTTGATCCAGTCTGCAACTGCTCTGCTCTGCACCTGCTCCGCGCTTGGTGTGAACAAGGCCTTACAGTTTTAAAGAGACACTAAAGTCAGGAGTTAAACCTTAAAAACTTATTCAAGTACCTTAACTGTTAACTAAAATGTATCTTATTTGTGTATCAAATCATCTCTGAATTGGTGCTGACACTGTCCTTCCTTCTGGAGGGTGGCTACTTTTGTTCCACTTGGACCCTGTGTGTGTTGTAAAGTAGCCACCGCTCCAAGCTCACTCCTGTGATGGACTACAATCTCAATACAAATTAGTAAATAAATGTGACATTGTAGCATGACAATTTGTGTCATGTGTTGTATGAGATATATGTGTGGTCATAGTTACAGTGTGTATAATGGTGTGTTTCTCTATAGTTACAGAGGCTGATAATGTAAGGCCACTGGAAGGAGTGAAAATCTTGGACTTAACAAGGTATGGACAAATTAATAACATATAATTATGTTATAAAAATATTTATATTATGTTTTAAAATGATCAAAATATGTTATGTTGCTGTTGTTTAAAATGGAAATAAAGCAGATTAGAAATAAAAAGAGCCCCCAGAGACATATTAACACATTATAGCTGCCTTACATGCCAAAGTGATACCCTCCAGCACTCACCGGCACTGAGACTATGGGCATGTGACAATAGATGATCGGAAACTACAGGCATGCTTCAAGAGAGGTGATTCATCCTGGTCTTCTTCCAAAGTCACATGTTTGGGCGGGTCCCGATGGCATAACTGCCGCGCATGCACAGAAGAGTTAATTCATCACAGCAATAATCCTGCCATTCTGTACTCTGAACTGCACATGCACAGAAACGGGGGGAAAATGTAATTAGCTATTTTTAAATTTTTTAAAAAAATACTTCCACTTTAAGAGCTTGTACAAGGTTTATAGCCAGTTAATTAAGTAGTTCTTAATTGTACAAATATAAAGCCTATAGGGCTGCAACAACTAATCGATTAAATCGATTATAATCGATAATGAAAACAGTTGGCATCGATTCTCATCATTAATTCGTTGCTTTTCGATTAGTTGCTGCCACTCTGCTCCTCCGTTCTCCTCCACGCTGCAGCGGTCAGTGTCCCTTTCAACCCCCGCTGCCACCTGTCTGTATCGGCAGAGGCAGTGGGGACACAGACCACTGCAGCCGGCACCAGCGGGGAGCAGAGATCGCTGAGACTGCATTCCCCCTCTGTCCCCCCGTACCTCCACTGCTGTCCCAGTCCTACTCTGCCACCCCGTGCTTCTGCTTGCCCGCCTTGTTCCTCCTCTGCCCCTTCGTTCCTCCTCTGCCCCCTCATTCCTCCTCTGCCCCCTCATTCCTCCTCTGCCCCCTGGTGCCTCCGCTGCTGCCCTACTTCTGCGCTGCCCCCTCCTCTACATCTAGAGGCTGGGAGCCATACCCAGCCTGCAATTGGATATTTTAAAATGCAATAGCCGATAGAAGGCTGGCTGTTGCACTCACCCACTGCCTGCTGTCAATCAGCAGAGGAGGACCTGATGGAGAAGTTTTCTCCTTCAGGTCCCTCCTCTGCTGGTTAACAGCAGGCAGTGGGCGGGTGCAATAGCCAGCCTTCTATGGGATATTGCAATTTAAAATATCCATTAGCAGGCTGGCTATTACTCCCAGCAATGAAGTTAAAAAAAAAGTTTAAGAAAATAAAGTTAAATAAACTAAAATTAAAAAAAGGAAAAAAAAAGTTAAATACATCAAAATTAAAAATGCAAACAAATAACAAAAATGAAGTTAAATAAACAAATTAAAAATAGAAATAATTTTTTGGGTGTGCTATTTTAAATAAAAGGTTGATTATTTTATTATATTGGCTTAGAGTTTTACAATTCACATTATTTTAAGTCCATGAAACTAATTAAAATGTCTAATATAATACATACAATTATTAAAAAAGGAGGTACCATTCATTTCAATGGATCCCAAATACACCTCCCATCCGCAGTGTGATCGCCCGCACTAGAATGTGCAGTACAGCTATGCCCTGCAGTGCGTTTTTACAAAATGTGCATACTGTTTTATTCTGAAGTAAACATTGTCTGTAACGCTGCATTTGTGTATTTTGTTTTAAAATAATGATGTTTTTTCTTTTTTAATCCGATTAATCGAAATTAATAATCGGCTAACTAATCAACTAATCAAGCCAAATAATCGTTAGCTGCAGCCCTAAAAGCCTATTTATTCTTATTGTGGGGATTAGACTCAAAGTAAAGGCACAAACTCTGCAATGCACATTCTAGCAGAATGAAAAGGAAAAGCAGACAAAGCATACGGCTGCAAAGTAAAGGCATACATGCAGATAAACTTCTGCTCAACTGAGCTCCACTGAGGTCCCAGTCGCACCACAAAGAGTGCGTTCCAGATCATTCGGCCTCTGAAATGCACTGGAACGCAATGTGGCCGGCTTACTTTGTTTTGGGGCGGGAGAGCGTGTGGCGGTGCATTGAAGTCAATAGCACTGCAGCCATACCTCCTGACCGCAGTACGATCACTGGCACCCGAACGCATGGCACATTACTGCCTGCTTTCCGGTCCAGTGCGATCTGCAAAAAATATAAAAATACTGCATTTTTTGCAGATCACACTGGACCGGAACGCATGCACTATTGTGCCACGCGTTCGGGTGCTTGTGATCACACTTCGGGCCAAGAGGACAGTATGCTACATTTGTATATGTGTTTGCGATGGATAAATATCCTAAAGGTATTATCTGATTAGCTTTTTCTCTATGGTGGTAATCTGGGGGGGGTCTATTATTTCTCCTTAACGCCATAAACTGTCAAATTGTTTTACCACCCCTTTTAAATAGTAGTAACAGGGTTATTCACAAAAGGGAAAAGAGTGAAGAGTTTGGAGAAGGCAGGAGAAGTGAACAATCTAGGACAAAATAGCTGAACTGGAAAATGAGCTGAATTGGAAAATATTTCTAAATCAGCTATGTTGTCCTAGATCAGTGATGGCGAACCTTTTTGAACCCGAGTTCCCAAACTGCGACGCAAAATCAATTAATTTATCTCAAAGTGCCAGCGCTGAAAATAAGTTTAGTATTAATCTCGTCTAACCTACCTGTTTATTGGCCGCCGCTGCCTAATTGTGACTGGCCCGGATCGCATACCAAGGCGATCCGGGTCAGTCGGATCTATTTCAATTGGTGGTCCCTGAACGCAGTGGTGTATTCTGGTTTGGGGCTGCCCTAGGCAAGGCAAAACTCGGGCGCCCCCACCCCCACTAAATTTACCCCACCCCTTCCTGTTTAATACTTTTTGCGTGACCTGTCAGTCGCTGGATACAGTGCAAACACTGTATCCAGCTTTTGACATGTTCCGCTATTAGCATAGCAGGAAAGCTGTGGTCTCAGGGGGGCTTAGCAGGATTTGTGGTGAGCTCTGCGGGGGCTCTGGTGGGCAGAGCCCACCACAGATCCTGCACAGGCCCAAGACCCTGCCAAGCCTCCCACAGATCCTGCACAGCCCCCTGGAGGCCCTGCAGTCTGCAGGGTCTCAGGGGGGCTGTGCAGGATTTGTAATGGGCTCTGCCCACCATGGGGCTGCAGAGCCCACATAGATCCTGCAAAGCCCCCATGAGACCCTGAAGTCTGCCAGATCTCAGAGGGGCTGTGCAGGATCTGTGGTGGGCTTTGCAGGAGGCAGAGCACCCTACGGATCCTGCAAAGCTCCCCACATATCCTGCAGAGACCCCCTGAGACCCTGCAGTCTGCCGGATCTCAGGGGCGCTGTGCAGGATCTGTGGTGGGCTTTGCAGGATCTGTGGGGGGTTTTGCAGGCTCCAAAGCCCCCCACAGATCCTGCACAGCCCCCCTGAGATCTGGCACAGCCCCCCACAGATCCTGCAGAGACCCCGCAGTCTGCCGGATCTCAGGGGGGCTTTGCAGGATCTGTGGGGGGTTTTGCAGGCTGCAAAGCCCCCAACAGATCCTACACAGCCCCCCTGAGATCTGGCAAAGCCCCCCACAGATCCTGCAGAGACCCCACAGTCTGCCAGATCTCAGGGGGGCTGTGCAGGATCTGTGGTGGACTTTGCAGGCTGCAGAGCCCCCATGGATCCTGCAAAGCCCACTAAAAGGTATTGCACAGCCCCCCTGTGACTCTTTGGTGGGCTGTGCATAATGTATGCTGGGCCCTGCCAGCACAGTGCTCCTACCTTACACGGGAAGCCCAGCCTTCACTGCTGCCTCGGCGCCCAATCGTCTCAGCTTCGCCGCTCGACTGGCCCCTTGGCGACGCCTCCTCCATCGCGGTCCCTGCCTTTGCCTCCTCGGTCTTCACAGGCCTCTTCCATCTCCCCCTGTCTCATGCCGCTCCGTCCCCATCTCCTCACGTCCTCTTTCATCTCCGCCTAAATCTACCTCTGTCTCCGGCCCTGTCTCATGCCGCTCAGTCCTCCGTCTCCTGCCGTCCTCCATCTCCCTCTGTCTCCACCCCCTGCCGCTCCGTCCCCCTTCTCCTCCTACTCGCTCGCCTGCCGATTTCTCCGCCTTCGACATGTCGGCTGCCTTAATGTTTTGGGGCTTGAACGTGGGCTCGCGTGCCAGCAGAAAGGGCCTCGCATGCCCTCCCTGGCACGCATGCCATAGGTTCGCCACCACTGTCCTAGATTGTTCACTTCTCCTGCCTTCTCCAAACTCTTCACCCTTTTGTGAATAACCCTGTAAATATTGCATTATGGGTATCTAAAATTGAGGACACCTTTCAGTGGCTGTCTTGCCGAAACCTGTTAGTAAATGTTATAAGATATTGTTGCTTTTTATGCCTATTTTACATATATTTTTATGAATTATATCTACCAAACTGAAGACTCAGCAAGCTTCTTGATTGCTTGATAAGGAATTATTATAATACCGAATTATCCTCCTTCATGTATTTGTCTTAATGTTCCAAGTATACATAAAAATGAATTCTTTGAGAAAATTCTTCGGTAAAGTAGAAATCCCACTATTGTTTTCTAGGGTACTTGCTGGGCCTTTTGCTACAATGATTCTTGGAGATCTTGGAGCGGAAGTCATAAAAGTCGAAAAACCAGGTTATTTTTCTGAATATTTTCTGTTAAGTTTTATTGTTGTTTTATGGATAAGTGAATCTATACAATGGCATGAAAAGAACAATAAACATGGGAAAGCTGCAACATTTGCAGTCATCTTCTTAGCTGGATTAGTCGCAAGTTTTTTCTTTATTGTGCCACATAAGTCTGTCTGCCTTCTTACAAAACGGCAGAACACCTCTCAAATGGATGCATCTGGCCTTCCATATCATCTGGCTAGAGTTGACAGGCTTCCAGGGGTAGCACTGGTTTCTTGTCAAGAAACTGGGGTTATAATGAAAGCGAGAACAGGAGGAATCTGTTCAGTCTCATATTGATATTTCGGTGAGGCTATTTTTTTTTTTTTTTTTGTGACACATTCATTAACTGTACTACATACCTCCTGTGAGTAGGAAGTAAAATTGTGCATGCAGTTTCTATTCTGAAGTAAAGTTTATGCTTGTAACACTCCATGTATGTATTTTATTTTAAATTAAGTAAGGTATTTATTAATTTTTTTATCCAATTAATCGAAAAAATAATTGGCCATCTAATCTTTCATCATGGTAATGAGCTGAAGCATGCTAGCAAATCCAGCAAAGAATAAAAGAAGAAATGTAGGGCTATGGCCTTGTGTATTCAAATCCCTGATTTAAATTCCAGGGATTTGAAACGGGCAGTCCATGCAAGGAAACCCACAACCATCTTGCAACTAAAGGAATTTTTGCATGCAGCAGTGGTAAATAAATGTCACCAAGGTGATGTCAGAGACTAGAAGGCAGTTATTAAAGAATGCCCTGAAAGAAATAATTTCTGCTAAAAGAGCAATACCAGTGTCTGAAGCCAAGGGTGTACTTACTTTTTCCACAATACATCATTACATCTATTGCTGAATAAATAATAGAAAATGCAAATTTCCTTTGTGTTTATATTCAAGTATATCACTTTTATTTGAAGTCACAGTTTGAATGAAGATCTACAGGGTTATTCACAAAAGGGTGAAGAGTTTGGAGAAGGCAGGAGACGTGAACAATCTAGGCCAAAATAGCTAATTTGGAAATATTCTCCAATTCAACTCACTTTCCAGTTCAGCTATGTTGTCCTAGATTGTTGTCTTCTCCTGTCTTCTCCAAACTCTTCACCCTTTTGTGAATAACCCTGATAATGTTTGCCTGTTCAAACACTGTATGTGAAAGTCAAATATTTCCATGGGGTGTACTTTAGTGAATGAGCTTTGGCGCAAAAGGAGGGGAAGGAAGTTGAGTCCATGTCACCACGACTGTAGTACTGCCATACAGAAGAGCTGTATGGTGGGTCTAAATGATTGAATTTATGAAAGTTCATTTAATTTTTTCTGTGTTAGTATATGACCATAGTATTTAAAAAATGGGTTGGAAGACCTCAGGACTTTCATATGTGAAATGACAGTGATACTAGTAATGCTGAACATGCTGTATGTTGTATGGTAGTTGCTGTTGGTTAGTTGGTTGATTGTTTAATATAAAGGCTTCTTAAAGTGACATTACACTCAGGAGTTAAATCTTAAAAATGCATTAGGCAAACAAGGTTACCCCATAGCTCTCCTTTAAACCTTGAACCTGCATTCAAGTACCTTAACTATTAACAAACATGTATCTTATTTGTGTATCACTCAGCTTTAGATCCTCAAATCATCTCTGAATTGGTGCTGACACTGCCCTTCCTTCTGGAGGGTGGCTACTTTTGTTACCCATGGTTCCTGTGTGTGTTGTAAAGCTCCAAGCTCACTCCTGTGATGGACTACAATCTCATGTTTAGTTTAAGCCTTGTTCACACCAAATGCAGAGAAGATCTGCATGAGTTTCTGCACACACACTGCAGTGGGTTGCGCCGCGTTTTTTGCCGTGTTTTTGATGCGTTCCGGGCTGTTTTTGGTAAAAAAAACAACATTTTTAAAAAGTTTAAAATGGGCTTTTAGTGCGTTCCAGGGCGTTTGCATGCGTTCCAGAGCAGGTAAAATAGGGCCTGCTGCAGTTTTTTTACCTGCTCTGGACCTGCTCTGGAATTGAACGCTGCCATGTGAACTGGAGCTAAACATACCACTGGAATACATTGGACGCAGTTTTGCTCTGGTCTGTAACTGCTCTGCTCCTGGAACACGCTTGGTATGAACAAGGCCTTACTAATTTGTATCAAGATTGTAGTCCATTTGAAAAAGTTGACAACTTTTTCAATAATCGATTATAATCGATTATGTCGATTAGTTGTTGCAGCCCTAATCGGGAGAGCAAGCTTGGAGCAGTGGCTACTTTCCAACACACACAGGGATCATGGGGAACATAAGTAGGAACGGAGAGGAGAGGGGGGATTCCTGCGGGGAGCGGTAACTGGCAGTCACCTCTCTCCAAAGGTAAAGGATCGGGAAGTCAGCGATCGGGAAGTCAGCGAACTCCTTACCCCAAGATTGGGGTAAGGAGTTCCAGAGGATGGGGGACACTCTGGAGAAGTCCCGGAGGCAATAGAGTCGACGTGTGACAGCTTCTCTGTCGCAGGTCGGCTTGAATTATGGGGATGAGCGTTTCTCACTCACCCCATAATTCTGCTTGAGGTTAGTGCCACTTTAACATTTTTTAACACTTTATGCTTTTGAAATGATTCAACCAACATGACTTCAACTGTAAAGGAAACTGTAAAGAGAAAATCTTGTTTTCCAGTTAAAGGATTAACATTTGTGACAATATTAAACTGTGGCATAGGAACAAAGGTGATTTTTTTGACCGTCATCCCTGATTAAACAGCAACTAGTTCCACATTTTCAGTGTAATGTATTAGGTTAAGCAAATAATTTAAAACTGCAATTTGAAGGAAGAAATTGTAAACATATTCCAGTTATTTAGCAGTAAACGCTTGAGTAACCAAATCCACTTTCATGACCAATTCACAAATCTACTCAGGAATTTCCATTTTCACTTGATAAATGGGCATATGCCAAATATCCATATAGTAAATACCATGGCATGTCAGACATTATTTTTTTTTTTGAAGGATATAAACAAGGTTTAAAATTAGATACTGATCCTGCTATTTCCATCCCATGTTCCTTTTCCTAATTTTCCCCACCAGCAAAGGGGAATGCCAAGTCAGGAAATTCTAATGGCCATGCTGCCTTTGTACCCACTTTCTATACATATTTTAGATATGCATAGATTAAATATCTGTAAAAAATAAGTCAAGGCAACTGGACTTGCTGTATTTTTCTTGAATACGTTTCACTGGTCATCCAACCAGCTTTCTCAATTCAGAATTATTATTGTTATTATTATTATACAGGATTTATATAGCGACAACAATTTGCTCAGCGCTTTACAAAGTAGTGGAGACAGTACAGTTACAATACAGGTTCAGAACAATAGGGTTGGGAAGGCCCTGCTCGTGAGAGCTTACAATCTAGTAGGAGGGGCAAGTGATACAAAAGGTAATAATTGTTTGGATTGAGTTATTGGAGGAAGTAAAAGCCAGTTATGTTGAGATGAGGTAGGCTTCCCTGAAAAGATGGGTTTTTAAGGATCGCCTAAAGGTGGGCAGAGTAGGAGATAGGCGAACAGATTGGGGTAAGGAGTTCCAGAGGATGGGGGACACTCTGGAGAAGTCCTGGAGGCGAGCATGGGAGGAGGTAATGAGAGAGCTAGAGAGCAGGAGGTCTTGAGAGGAACGGAGAGGATGGTTTGGGTGATATTTTGAGATGAGATCAGTGATGTAGGTTGGGGCGGAGTTGTAGATGGCTTTGTATGTTGTTGAATGACTTGTATCATAGACATAGAAATACACCCTGTATTGGTAACATGTCTGTTTAAGTGGAGGAGGAGGCAAACGTTATACTAGACTTGCAGCTGCTGAGGTTAGTAATGGGTGTTTGGGCTTTAATGGCCGTAGTAAGCGCAGGTATCGCTGATACATTGTTACGTGTTGTTAAGCTGGGAACATAATTTGATGTGATACACAATATGACAATTATCCAACATATCTATATTGCTATACAGTTGCTTTATGCATTTTCTCCATTTTGCCTCATTTTAGGAAGTGTGGGCAGAAAAAGAGTCTGTGTTGTTATCCTCAAAGAGATTGTTACCTGAATTACTATTTTAAGTTATGAACCGCTATATAAGCATTCACACTTACAGGTATAATATTCTAAGGATTCATTCATGAGATTTTTGAGCTCAACACAATAACAGAATTTATTGGTATACAGTATCAAGACTTAAATACAATGAACCAACAATCTATTTAACTACAACATACAAAGAAAAGATTTAAACATGCCAAATACCCAGACATTGGTATCTAACAGACAAACAGACATACAGTTAAGTGGTGGAAAGATTATATGTATAGTTACCCATTAAACGTCACATGAGGCCCCATCCTGGTGAAAAGAGGCCGAGCTGTTTTTTCCAGTCATTAATATAGCCCTCGTGTCCATAGGGATGCATGACAAATCTCCTATTGGTTGCCTCCCAAGGCCTACTGGAGATTGGAGGGTTTCCAAGACCCTCTTTACAACTCCACACCCCTCTCTACGATTGGCCAGTCTACTTGTTATTAGATCAAAGGGTCTTGGCTCCTGATACACAGGATACTGAAGTTGCACCTCTATGGTAATTATCTGGACATGCCTGTGCTCAACAATGACCCTATTTGCAATTCATTGGGCCTGGCACTCCCCTCCACAGTGATAAGCACAACAAAGACTTTATTTCCCTACAAGCTATCAACACCTCAGGGGAAATATTTAAAACAAGAAATAAAACTATATACATATGTCTTATGAAGATTTGACATAAACTCATACGGTAACAAGATGCCAGGTTTGATCAATTTTTGTGCAAGTCAGAGCTGCCTGGAAAGAATTGTAGAGGAGGGGCTGAGGACAACACAGACCCACTTGATGTTTGAACATTTCTGCATCTCAGGGACTGTTTAAAATGTATCGGTAGCCAAATTCATTTTTTTGTCTTACTTTGGACAACGTAGTGGATGGTTGAACCTCTGTCAAGTTTTTCTTGCTGTATATGCCAAGAAGGAGATATATTATCTCTTCTTGTCCTTGTGACCATTGTTACTGGGACAGAAGTGATAGGAGATCCAACATTTTATGACACTGGAACAAGAGGTAAGGGGAAGTCTTTTTTTGCTAGAGATACACTTTAAGTCATATGGATCCCCAAAACCGTATTTGTATAAGAGTTTGTTTCAATAAAACTGTAATGGCATTTTATAAGGGGACAGTTTAGGCGTGAATACTGCTTGCTTGAATTCTTTTTGTAAAGTTTAATTGAAGGCACAGAAATAGCTTTGCAGTCAAGAATACAAACAAACTCAATTTTTATCATCTTATTTTCACTTTGTTGGTGTACAGGGTGTCTAAATATGACTGCGCAGTCCAGTAGGCACCAGAGTTAGACATAGTGCATCTCTTCTGCACACACTGAACCCGAAAGTGCTCAGAACTGAACACTTCCAGGTCCTGAGCTTTAGTTTGCTTGTGCTCTGCTTAGTTACAGATGGGGGTTATCCGTTGCCAGACTGTATCTGATGGACACTGAGGAAGTATTATAGTACCGATAGACACCTGCCTTTATCTATAAAGAGAACACATCATCAAACTAAAAAAAAAAAAATCAGTTTTAAGAATCAGTAGAAAATGTATCTTATTCTATTTTATCTTCCTACACTTTACATGCCGTCATAGCCACCTTTCCCAAACATTACATCTGCTTTCAAAACCTGTGCATTCCTTTTATGCACATGCTGCCTATTGTCGTATCCTTTGCACACCTCTCCTGTACATTCCGCTCCCTGTTCCTAATCCTCTCCTGCTCATATTGCCCTCTGTCATACCATCCACAATCTTCTCCTGCACATAGTCCATACTGTCGTAGCTTCCTTCAGCCCTCTTCCGTGCATACTGCCCACTCTCATTCCCTCTGTACTCCTCCCCTGCAAATACTGCCTGCTGTCATACCCTTTGCACTGCTTTCCTGCACATCCTGCCTGCTGTCATACCATCCCCACTCTTGTTCTACACAATTAATATTTTAATGACCTCCTTCAATACAAGATTACACACATTGGTTTGTTTAATTCCAAGTATTCTTATGAATGATTTTAAAACTGAACTCCATGCAGACAGCTATACACACATATGAAATACAAAAGATCAGTTTTACCTTCCAGATATTTTTTGTCCATCCAGTTCTGAGATTTTTACAGCTCCTGCAACACAGCTCTGTCTGTCAGAGAATGAGACCTAATTTGTCTCTGCTGCAGTTCAGTAACATTGTCCGGTATAAGAAGACGCAGCACTCTGATGAGCTCATCTCTCTGTTACTCTGCTCTTTTTTTAATTAGCATGTTCTATACATTGCATACCGGTCTGGTAGGGGAGGAGCTGCATTTTAGTAATATTTATTGGTCTCCTTAGCATAATAATCAAACCTGAAAATTAGTGATGGGCATGAGGGAATTTAATAATGAAACTGAAATAGCTTTACTTTAGCTCTTCTTGGGGTGAGTGAAGCAGGGTGAATTGTCTGCCTCCATGTAACACGTGTGATACAAAAATAGGTTTGGGGTTCTCTTTTAAAAATCAAATTAGGCTTATTAAATGTGCAAGATGCAGTAACTGAATGCAGTTATCCAGCTAAGCAATTGTAAATCATCTTTTTTTCTGATATAGTAGTCAGAACAATTAAAGTTGATTGGTTACTATGAGACAAGGTGCAGGTTGGGTTGCCTGAGTCTCCTCTAGTTTATCAAATCTGTCAACAAGGCATGAACTTTGCCTTTAATGTCCATTGGCAGCTACAGTCACTCTTCTTATCATGTAAAGAACTATTGTGGCTTAATAAATACATTACTGGTTTATTCAGTAACTTTCCCCATGTACAGTTTAACCACTGAGAGAGTAACGTGAGAGTAACATGACTATAATAATGAAAAATTAGACTTTAAAGTTCACCTGTTGAAATCTTTAAAATACATCCAAGTACCCTAACTATTAAAGGAGAACTATGGGGTCAGGGCTTTTCCCCATAGTTCTCCTAAGGGTAACGGGAGGACACAAACTAGCGTCCTCCCGTCACCCATCATGACATCATGGCCGGCTCCGCCCAGTTGTTATTTATTGGCCGGGACCTGCTAGAAGACTCTGGCAGGTGCCGTCCAATAGGAAACAGTTGGACAGAGATATCAGTGATGTCACCGCTAGCTCCACCCAATTGTTCTTATTTTTCCAGCATCTGTCGAATGCTTCATGCTTCATTATGTGGCGGGAGTTCATCACGTACGGTTGGGTCGGCGTGTGTTGTTTTTTTTCTTTTCTTTAAAATATTTTTTTTTACATTTTTAAAATAATTTTTCAACATTTTTTTCCCATTTATTTAACTTTTTTTCTATTCTGCTCGCTACCTCGGAGGTACCAAGCAGAATAGCCACGCCGAATGCTGCCTGCCGTTCGGTCCCCTATGAGATTAGGGGTGAACGGCAGCGAGTGAGCTGCTAAAGCTATCGCTCAGCCAAACCACATGTTGGATCGGCTGAGTCGAACTCCTTCTGCACTTCGGCTCAGCCGAACATGGCTACAAGGCTGAAGTGAATAGCCGAAACAGCGTTCAGCAGCTAAGTGAATAACCCTCTAGAATTTCAATACAAATTAGTAAACTAAACATGAGATTGTAGTCTATCACGGGAACGAGCTTGGAGCAGTGACTACTTTGCAACACACACAGGGACCACGGAGAAGAAAAGTAGCCCCCCCCCCCCCCGGTGTGAGCCCGGGACCAGCATAGTGCCACTCTGACGGGATTAGAGGTAGGTCTGTTTACGATCTCCCTCCGGTCCCCTCTCCGGTGTCAGATTGCGGAAGTGATGTATGTTACATCACTTCCGCATTTTCGTGTCACTCTCCAGCTTCAGACGCTGGAGAGAAGCTGATGAAGTAGATCTCTGCTTCATCAGCTTCTTCAGGGGGGTCCTAGGTGACATTAGGGGTCTTGGAGACCCCTGATGTCTCCATAAAGAGGACCTGTCACATCTTTTGCTACCACATATAGGGGTTTCTTAGCCCCCTTTGTGATAGCAATAAAGTTAAGTGAAAAAAAAAAGAATAGGAAACAAAATTACAGTTTCCCCCCAAAAATGTTTAAGTTACACATAAAAAAGAATTATACAAGTCCCCACCCATACATACACGCATGTAAACATGCATCAGGTGCGCATATCTGCGAAAACGACGATTGCGCCCATTACGCCGCACATGTTCCATATCGCCGCAAACGTTGCAGTGAGTGCAATAATTCTAGGGCCATCAATCACTGATAACATGAAACTGATGAGCTGTAAAAGTTTTTAAAGCGTCGCCTATGGTCAAATTTGGGTATGCTAGTTTGTTATGATTTTGCGGGTGCGCGCAATTTTTAAGCTTGACATGTTTGGTGTCTATTTACCCGACGTGACCGTTTTTTTATATTTTACCAAAAAGGTGGGTAATATTAGTTGTTTTATAACATAATGTAAAAAACATTTTCAGTAATTTTTCCTGAATATAGTAAAAAATAAAACCACCAGTGGTGTTTAAATACCACCAAAAGAAAGCTCTATCTGTCCCCAAAAAATTGTATAAAATTAATTTCAGTACAGCGTTGCATGACGGAATAAATGTCAGTCAAAGTACCGCAGCGCTGAATACTGAAAAATGGCCTGGCCAGGAAGGGGGTCTAAACACCTGGTCAGCAAGTGGTTAAAACACTTTACAGGGCCATTCAACCTTCAGATCTCTCTGACGGCAAAACAAACATTATTAGTATATTTTCTTTTAAGGTGGAATGTAATGTAAAATAATACTGCATTATGACCACAAGATTAAGTTGAAGAGCATAGAAAATAAGTATTTCCTATGCTCCTCAGCCCCCATCTAGTGGCCATAACATTATACATTACATTTAATCTGAAAAAGATTTATTTTTGCCTCTATTCACACAAAATGAACATTCACAGATATTGACAGGGTGAATGAAATTATTGTTATACAGGATTTATATAGCGCAGCGCTTTACAATATAAGGAAGACATTACAATCACAATACAATTCAAGACAAGATGGTAAGGAGGGCCCTGCCCCTGAGGGCTTACAATCTAAAAGATATAGTTTAAGCTGTATGTTTTAAGTATAAAGGAAGTGATGTTCAGTAGGCTTGAATCTGATTCAAATTAAATATTTGTACAAAGCTTTCATAATCTATTTTCTGTATTTTGTTCTGTAGGATCTGGAGATGATACTAGGTCCTGGGGACCTCCTTTCGTAGGAACTGAAAGTACTTATTTTCTCAGTGTGAACAGAAATAAGAAGGTATTTATATTAGCATTTCAGCTGTTTAATATATCACTTCTTTTTTATTTTAGGTTGTATTTACTGTTTCATGTAGTTATTATACAGTCAAAAAACAACAACAGCTTGATGATAAAATAATGTGGTGAAATGGGTACACTTATGTACAGCAGAGTTGCTAACTTAAAATGACAGAAGGATGACTATACTGATTCCTCATGTGAATATTTTTCCTAAAGAATTTGGAGGCTGATGTATAAAATGTGAATAAAAGTAAAGTGATTATCCTTGTATAATGGCTTTACTTTTACTTTCACCAATCTTATAAGCTTTTATAGCTTATTGTCATTGTTATTTGTTTGTGTGCATGTATATCAGTCAGGTCAGATATTATCTGGAGCAGTGAATGCTTCCATCCATTTCTGAAGCTGCTATTCTCCAGAAAGAAGTGGTGGTACTGGTGTATACCGCAAAGAGACTTGCTTGCCCCCAAACAAATATAGCTAATGATAAACAGTGGCAACCTGTAGCCTCAACCATGCCAGGCCACAACTGCCCAGACAGGTTCCTTTTATATAGTATATGTATTAAGTAAAACTACGCATTTTTTAATGGTGGTGGTTGCATTCATTTCAGTGTTTCCAACTCTATCACAATGTATACAATTTTCCTAGATAGTAAACTATTTTCACTTGTGGTATACAGTTAACATAATTTCAGTATTTTATGCATTTGTTAGAAAAAATAAGGCATGGTGCTGCACAGAATTATCTTCTTGCAGCTGTTGCTGGAATTTTTTTGTATCACTATCAAGAGTGATATGGGACAAATAACTTTATGGGGTCTGTTTATAAATAATTTGTTAAGCCATTTGCCCTATGAATCTCTGTAAACATTTGTTCTGTGTCAATAGAGGCAAAGATAAACATTCTAACAAGTCAGAAGTAATGAAATACCACATTATGACCACTAGGTGGAGCTCCGAAGCATAGGAAATAAGTATTTTTTCCCCTGTGCTCTTCATCTCCATCTAGTGGTCATAATGTAGTATTACATTACAGTAAACTCGACCTGAAAGAAAAAATACTAAGAGCGTTTGTTTTTGCCTCTATTTGCACAATACGAACATTCATAGAGAGTGAATGGCTCTGCAAATTGTTTATAAATAGATCCCTATGTTTGTTAATATGCAATATAATCTGGTTTAACATCAGCTTAAAGATCACAGGTTCTCAGCTTCTTTTATTGTACTTTATTCCACTGTTTACCTTGGTAAAATCAGCACATAGGTACACAAATATTTAAAAGCCACTCTGGACAATAGATATTTCAAGAAAGCTCATACCTGCTTTGAATGTCACTTGTTTATTGTTTTTTTTAACTAATATATTGTGTTTTGTAATTTTCCCAGAGTATAGCTGTGAATATGAAAGATCCCAAGGGCACAAAAATTGTTCAGGAGGTACTGTATTTTGAACTATCAAACATCATTTTAGTTTTGTCCTTAGTAACTATCTTGTTGTATGCCATTGCACTATGGGGCCCATTTACAAACCAGCAATATGTCCTTAATTCTGACAATACTGCTGCTTTTCGATTGGAAGCTCCAAATGTGGTTTGGTCTCCAGTTGCTTTGGGAGTCTGAATAATTCTAATGATATAAAAAAAAAAATAGCTGGGAGGAAGAGGTAAGCACAGAATACACTTCAGGTCTGGTTCACATATGGGTGGCCTGGGACCAAGCAATGGGGCCGCGCAGCAAAAAGGCTCATGCGCCTTTTTGTGCCATGAGCGACCCTTGTTTTTTTGCGGCCACGTTTGTGTGCGATTGCACCCTCAGAAACGTGGGCCACACCTGCGCAGATTGCTAGCCGCGATTGGGGTGCCATTAGAAATGAATGGCACCGCGTTGCTGCGAGTTTGCCCGGAGATTGAGCACAAAACTGCACGGATTGCCACGCGGTCTCGGATCACTCAGATGTGACTGGACCTCAGGACTTTGCAGGCTTCACACTGCGTTCTGCAGTTTTATAAATAAATTGTAAAATGCAAGTGCAATGCAAAGCCTTTTCTGCAATGTGTTGCGGTTTGGTAAGAGGGAAAAATGCTAGTCATAAATAGGCCCATAAGTATCACATAACAGAATTTTAACTGCCTGTAGGTACCACTCGTAAAGTAGATTTTGTTTGTAAGGTGATAGGAAAAATTATTTCTAATGAACTCTTTCACTGTCAGGTCCTGTGCTCCACTTTTAACCCAAGGTGGCCAGAGCATTTGTGCAATTCTTCACTTTTTTAATAATTTTCACTTATAGCTTTCAGAGTTTGTAAAGACACCTTCTCCCCGCCACCTTTCTTAACTATACATTTTATGGAAGAGTTTATGGTTTTAAAAGCGCCAAGGACAATCCTTATCCCTCCTGGGGAAGAAATCGTAAGCACATATGCAAGGTGCAGCCTCAAAACAGTCAAGGGTACTGGAACATCTAAAAAACACAAAAGAAGAGGCGCCTTTCCTGGTGCAATATCATTTAATCCAAAAAGACAGGCATAAAGGTGAATTGACAGGTACTCACTATGTTGAAGATAAAAACAAGCCGTTGGACAATATGACCAGAGCAATAAAAAGATCCGGATAGCGTGTCCTGTGTAAAGCACTGCTGTGTCGACGTGTTTCCGGGGCACGCCCCCTTCATACATTTTATGGAAGCAAAAGACTGCTAGAATAAAAATACAGTGCTGCTGATTTTGTAGGTCCCATATTAAGTGCGCAAATTTTTATCAAAACAATATTTTCAGTAAAAATACACTAAAATAATTATTGACGTACACAAGCACAACAAAGCTTACAAAGTTAATAAATAACAAGTATTTTCAAAATGTTGTGTCTTGCAAAATGGTGAAATGGTGAAAATGGAAGGTATGCAAGGTACTGTAAATAAGCAACTTACACTAAAAATGTGCAGGTTCGCTTCACATGTGATTAGGGAATTTTAAGAGTAAACAGCAACAGTCTGTGAGTAGATCCAAATCAGATAAAAGGTTTATATGACACACGCGAGTGGGGAAAGGCCTCTGTTTGTCAGACCAATTCCAACCCCAATTTTTCCAATGACTAAGATAACAGCTAACGCCCTCCAGATAGCTGCTAACACCCAACCATAGAAAAAATGCCTTACAATATTTTCTTAGACAGGCAGATCGTACTTGCGATGATCGCAAGCGCGCCCCCAGGAGGGGCGGGCTTCCGATGACCGCAATGCCGAAGGGCAGTGTGCGCTTGCGAACACCGGCCCGTCCGGCTTTTATCTTACGAACATGCCACAAACCCGCCGAACATCGTACGATGCTAGGCGGGTTTTCGAACATGTTCGTAAGTTAAAAGTCGTGCGACCTTACAGTAGTAGAGGTCGCACGGCTTCCACACACCTTACGATAATCGTACGATCGCGGGATTTCCCGCGATTATCGTAAGGTGTGTGGGCACCCTAAGTCTATGGACAGCGTGCACCCGCACAGACACCGTGGGACATGAAGTGCCAGCAAGCACAGAGGTGTCAGCGCTGGATCGGAGGGACAGATGAAAACGACAGGAAATAAAAAGATAATTGGATTAAGAGACACCATTTTAGGTAAGCGCTTTCACTAACATTGGGGGGAGGGAAAAAACATTTAGACTTTAATGTCACTTTAAGACAACGGCTAACACCCAACCATAGAAAAAATGCCTTACAATATTACTTGATAAAACATGTTTTGTACGTAAGATGTTTTAAAGTCTGTAACTGTATTTAGTATATGTGTTCAACATAATGTACTGTATTGGTGGCAATTGCCCCCAAAGCCTCTCTGATACCTTTGCAAACGCCCCCTAACTCAGATTAATAACGTCCAAAAGATGTGGACTGGGAGGGGGGCTCTTTAAGAATGCTCAGAATCACACCGTGGAACGATCACCTCTTCTCCCGACCGCTCCAGCTTCAGCTCCAGGAAGCGGGCACTCAGAGAGGCAGCTACGATCACACCTGTCAGCGTTCCCTCTCTCTGCTCCCGGCCGCTGCAGCTTCAGAGCGGCCAGAAGGAGAGAGAGGGAGCGATAATGGGTGTAATCAGAGCCGCCTCTCTGAGTGGAGCTGAAGTGGCCGGGACGAAAGAGAGTGAGCGCAGAGAGCCAGCTCCGGATGGAACACTACCGCTGCGGCAAGCGCTCGCTTCTGTTCTCTCTTCTCCTTCTCGGGCTCGGCCGCTCTGTAGCTGCAGCAGGCGAGAAAGAGAAGAGAAAACAGAAGCGAACGCTTGCCGCGGCAGTAGTGTCCCATCCCTAGTCCCGCCGGTGAGGCACCATTGCTGACATTCCACTCGCCCCCCCCGCAATTTTCACTCGCCAATTGCGAGGGGGCGAGTGGAAATTTTGAGGCCTGTGCATGATTATCAGATGGATCATGCAAATAACATCACAACATATGCTTCCGTATTTTTTGTGATGGAAAACAAATGTCTATTCCTTCATTGTTTTTGTAAGTTGTATCATATGCATCTGGTAAACTTGCCATGTTCTCACTGAGATTGCATTTAATTTTTGGTATACATCTCCTTTAAGACCACAGACAGACTTGCATGCAGACATACTGGATGAAACACAAATCCCTTTGAGAGGCCAGTTTAAATATTTTGCACACAGAACTTAAGGAATCAATTAAACAGGTCAGTAATTGTATTTCACTGTTGTAATGCAGCAATGCCTTGATTAAATACACATGTCTGAAACTTCAAAGTTTCTGCAGTGAAATTCTAAGTAAAGTATATGCTTTGGCTGCACTACATTCTTCATCAGATACACATTTGATTGGCTAATGCTGAAAAGATCTTTAAAAAGGTACCTCCATGTACTAGAAGAGATGCATAGAGGTCACACAGAGCCAAAATAGAACTCTTGAAATACAGAGCCAGACAAAGGAATGTTCATAGGAACCTGGGTTAAATGAAAACCATGGCTTAGGTCTGATTACAGTAAACAGACCGTCATTTTTAGCTGGTGAATGTTGGAAACGTATACCTGGTTATTTTAATAACTGATCATACATAATCAAAGAAGAAACATACACTATGGTAATATCACAACACCTAGTTAATCAATATGACAGGTTAATTTATTAATGTACCTGATCATGAGCAGAGATATCTATAATATTTACATTTTGCCTCAAAAGTGCGTGATTACAT